ACCTTAAACTAAAAATCTTCTGCACAGCAAAGGAAACCATCAACAAAATGAAAAGGCAACTTACAGAATGGGAGAAAATATTTGCAAATCGTATATGTGATTAGGGGTTTATATTCAAAATATATAAAGAACTCATATAACACGATAGCAAAAAAACAATTCGATTAAAAAATGGGCAGACGATCTGAATAGACGGTTTCCCGAAGAGGAAGAGGAAATACAGATGGACAACAGGTACGTGAAAAGGTGCTCAACATGACTCATCATCAGGGATATGCAAAGCAGAGCCACAGTGAATTATCACCTCATATCTGTTAGAATGGCTGTTGTCAAAAAGACAAGAGAGAACAAATGTTAATGAGGATGTAGAGCAAAGGGAATCCTTGTGCACTGTTGGCGGGAATGTAAACTGGTGCAGCCACACTGGAAAACAGTATGAAAGTTCCTCAAAAAATAAAAAATAGAACTACCATGTGATCCAGCAATTCCACTTCTGGATATTTATCCAATGAAAATGAAAACACTAACTCAAGAAGATATATGGATCTCCGTGTTCATTGCAGCATTATTTACAATAGCCAAAACATGGAAGCAACCTAAGTGTCCGTCTGTGGATGAATGGATAAAGAAAATGTGGTATATATATGTATAATATTACATATATACACACATATATGAAAATATATATGTATATTTTGTATGTATAATATATACACACACATATGAAAATGTGGTATATATATATGTATATATATACACACACACACACGCACAATGGAATAATATTCAGTGAGAAAAGAAGGAAATCCTGCCGTTTGTGACAACATAGCTAGACCTTGAAGGCATTATAGTGAGTGAAATAAGTCAGAGAAAGACAAAAACCGTATGATCTCACTTATATGTAGAATCTGAAAAAAAATGAGCTAGTAGATACCGAGAACAGATTAGTGGTTACCAGAAGCGGGGCATGGGGGGTAGGTGAAATGAATGAAGGGGGTCAAAAGGTACAAACTTCCAGTTATAAAATAAATGTCATGGGGATGTAATGTACAGCGTGGTGACTGTAGTTAATACTGTTTTGCATATTTGAAAGTTGCTAAGAGAATAGATCTTAAAAGTTCTCATCATAAGAAAAATTTTGTACCTGTGTGTGGTAATGGATGTTAACTAGACTTGTGGTGATCATTTTGCAATATATACATATATCGAATCTTTTTTTACACCTGAAACTAATAAAATGTTGTAAGTCCGTTATATCTCAATGAAAAAACAAACCATGCCCACTAGGATGTCTGTTATCAAGAAGACAAATCACAAGTGTTGGGTAGGGTTTGGAGAAATTGGAACCCTCATTGACTGCTGATGAGAATGTGAAATGGTACAGCCACTTAGGAGAACAGCCTGGCAGTTCCTCAAAATGTTAAATATAGTGTTACCAAGTGACTCTACTACTAGGTATATATCCAAGAGAAATGAAAATATGATAGCCAGAAGAAGCCAGTCACAAAAGGCCACATATTATATGAGTCCATTTATATGAAATGTCTGGAATAGTTAAATGCATAGAGACAGAAAGTAGATTAATGGCTATAGAGGTGGGGATGGTGGGATGGGAAGTGATTGCTAATGGGTACAGAGTTTTGGGAGGATGAAAACGTTCTGGAATTACAAGCGTATCTTGTTTTATTGTACTTCGTTTATTGCGCTTCGCAGATAGTGCGTTTTATAGAAATGGAAGGTTTGGGGCAATCCTGTGTTGAGCAAGTCTATTGGCACCATTTTTTCAAGAGCTTTTGCTCGCTTTGTGTCTCTGTCACATTTTGATAATTCCCACAATATTTCAAACTTTTTCATCATTATTATATTTGTTATGGTGATCTGTGATCAGTGATGTTACTGTTGTAATTGTTTTGGGGCGCTATGAACCGCACGCATATGAGATAGCAAACTTAATTGATAAATGTTGTGTGTGTTCTGACTGCTCCACCTACTGGTCATTCCACCATCTCTGCCCCTCTCCAGAAGATCTAGCTAGGATAATTAATGAAGGTGACTACGCTAAACAACAGGTTTTCAATGTAGATGAAACAGCCCTATATTGGAAGAAGATGCCATCTAGGACTTCCATAGCTAGAGAGGAGAAGTCAGTGCCTGGCTTCAAAGCTTCAAAGGACAGGCTGACTCATATTAGAGGCTAATGCAGCTGGTGACTTTAAGTTGAAGCCAGTGCTCGTTTACCATTCTGAAAATCCTAGGGCCCTTAAGAATTATGCTGAATCTACTCTGCCTATATGCTCTATAAATGGAACAACAAAGCCTAGATGACAGCATATCTGTTTACAATATGGTTTACTGAATATTTTAAGCCCACTGTTAAGACCTACTGCTCAGAAAAAAAGATTCCCTTCAAAATATTACTGCTCATTGACAATGCACCCTGTCACCCAAGAGCTCTGATGAAGATGTGCAATGAGATTAATGTTGTTTTCATGGCTGCTAACACAACATCCATCCTGCAGTCCATGAATCAAAGAGTAATTTCGACTTCTGAATCTTATTATTTAAGAAATACATTTCATAAGGCTATAGCTGCCATAGATAGTGATTCCTCTGATGGATCTGGGCAAAGTAAATTAAAACCTTCTGGAAAGAGTTCACCATTCTAGATGCCATTATAAACATTTATAATTTATGGGAAGAAGTCAGAATATCAATATTTACAGGAGTTTGGAGGAAGTTGATACCAACTCTCATGGATGACTTTGAGGGGTTCAAGACTTCAGTGGAGGATGTAACTACAGATGTGGAGGAAATAGTGAGACAACTAGAGTTAGAAGTGGAGCCTGAAGATGTGACTGAATTGCTGCAATTTCATGGTAAAACTTTTAACAGATGAGAAGTTGCTTCTTATGGATGAGCAAAGAAAGTGGTTTCTTAAGATGGAATCTACTCTTGGCAAAGATGCTATGAAGATTATTGAAATGACAAGAAAGGATTTAGAATATTCCACAAACTTAGTTGATAAAGCAGCAGCAGGGTTTGAGAGGATTGACTCCAATTTTGAAAGAAGTTCTGTGGGTAAATGCTCTCAAACAACATTGCATGCTACAGAGAAATTGTTCGTGAAAGGAAGAGTCAATCAATGCGACAGACTTCATTTGTCTTATTTTAAGAAATTATCACAGCTACCCCACCCTTCAGCAACCACCACCCCATCAGTCAATAGCCATCAACATCGAGGCCAGACCCTCCTCCAGCAAAAAGATTATGACTTGCTGAAGGCTCAGATGATGATTAGCATTTTTTAGCAATAAAGTATTTTTTAATTAGGTATGTACATTGTTTTTTAGACATAGTGCTATTGTACACTTAATAGACTGCAGTAGAGTGTAAACATAACTTTTCTATGCAGTGGGAAACAAAAAAATTTGTGATTTGCTTTATTGTGATATTTGCTTTATTGCCATGGTCTGGAACTGAATGTGCAGTATCTCCAAGGTGTGCCTGTAGATGGTAGTGATGATTGCATAATGCTGTGAATAACATGAAAAACCATGGAATAGTAAACTTTAAAAGGGTGAATTTTATGGTATGTAAATTTTATCTCAATAAACTGCTAGTTAAAAAGAATAAAGTAGCCCCAAATTTTGCTTTCTTGGCTTTGAAAGATTGTGGGGGAAACATCGTTTTTTTCTGTTTTTATCTCATGGCTGCCATTGACCTTTACTGACAGGCCTAGATGACCTGAGTTTAGTGGTCTGAGTCAGGTCCCTGGTGAGCAGTCACCTAAGTTACCTAAACACTCTGTGCGTGGACAAGGCTGCAGCTTCTGCTCAGGGGACACTGCGGCCTGGGCAGCAATGAAGCCCAGTAACCTCACTCAGTCCAGAAAGAGGTTTTTCCAAGTGAAGACTGAGGTTGTTCACCAGGCAGTAGGGAAGCATGTTTGTGTTTTGCCCAAATGTGTTTGGCCTGTGAATAAACCGGTGACAACGATTTTCTGCCTTAATTTTAGGAGATTTGAATATTAGGTTAATTTGTTTATTGTGTTTACAAATAATTTAAGAAAAAAGCATTTCAGTAACATTTACTTTTAAAGAATACATTAAAGAACTGCAAAATATTTTTATTTTTATTTATTTATTTTTTTGAGGAAGATTGGCCTTGTGCTAACATCTGTTTCTGATCTTCCTCTTTTTCTTTTGTTTTTTTCTCCCCAAAGCCCCAGCACATAGTTGTGTATCATAGTTGTAGAATTGTAGCTCTTCTGTGTGGGATACCGCCTCAGCATGGCTTTATGAGCAGTGAGTAGGTCCGTGCCCTGGATCCAAACCGGCGAACTCCAGGACGCTGAAGCGGAATGCGAGAACTTAACTGCTACGCCACCGGGCCAGCCCCTTGAGTTATTTTTTAACACTCTCTTCTTAGCAGTCATTCAACTCAATATGCATTAGCACCTTGCTGTATTCAGTGTGTCTCATAACTAAAAGATTATATATAATGTAATATACTAAAAAGTCATTCATGTAGCTTGATTAGAAATAGAAAATAAAATATTTCTTTTTAAAATCAACTGTGTTCTAAAGCACATGTTCTCAAACTTCTCTGTGTGTAAAAATCAACTGGGACGCATTAAAATTGTGGATTTCTTAGGCTTGGTTCAGTCTGAAATTTTTTAGGAACGCCCCAGATTCTTCTGAGGAGCAGAGGTTTGCAAACACTGCCCCTAGGGATTTCAGCCTAGAATTAGGAGGTGATATGTGTGGTTAAAGTGTTCTTCGTTACCATAGATAATTGATATGTATTTCTTATGATATTTTCCAGCCATTTGATGTTAGAAATAGATGATATCCATACTCTTATTCTGCTATTAGAAAATATTTTCTCACAAACATAACATTTCAAAGTGCGTGACATTGTAAAAAGTCTTTGTTACCCCTGTCAGCATCTGTGTTGCTGTTACCTATTAATGTAGCACTGTCTTCACTTGCCGTTTCCAGATTTCTTTTGACCTGGCTGAATATACTGCAGATGTTGATGGAGTTGGCACTTTACGGCTTCTGGATGCAGTTAAGACCTGTGGCCTTATCAACTCTGTGAAGTTCTACCAAGCCTCGACAAGTGAACTTTATGGGAAAGTGCAAGAAATACCCCAGAAGGAGACCACTCCTTTTTATCCTCGGTCACCATATGGTGAGAATGCACGAGCGCAGCCTTGCACATATGCTGCATTCTCTGTGGGCATGGGGTGTGTGTGTGTTTCTGCTTTAATTCTGTTCGTGTCTCATGGCTAAAGTCATTTGGGTGTGAGATTAACATTAAGGTAGACTAAAGTGACTAGACTTGTTGAGAAGCATACCTTTATACATTGCTAACTACAAGTATTTGCTGCCATTGCCTCCAGGGTGAAATTACCACCTCACTTCACCATCCGTGTTTATTCAACCCTTCCATACAGATCACTTTAAAAGGAAAATTAGACCCAACACGATTCTTTTTACTGAGCTGTTGTGAGATTGTGCTGAAGTGATAAAGTTTTGTGTTTTTTATTTTTCTGAGGGAAGTCTCCCTGAGCTCAAACCCTTAAAAAAACAAACAAAAAACGTCTATTGTATCTAATGTATTTGTAAAAAGAGTATTCACAAAGGACTTCAGTGATAAAATTTGAAAGCAGCTAGAATATTAAGATCCTATATTTTCCACTTTCTAATTCGTTAACAGTAAGAAAAAGGGAATAAGACCTAGGAAAGGTCAGCTTGATATATTGCACACACTATATTTGAATCAAATAGATTGCGAAAGAAAGAACTGTTTGCATTACAAAAGTAAGAAATTCTTAAATATTTCTTTCTACACACGATTAACTCGCAAAGGAACCTTTATTTTGTGTTTGGCTTTTAATTCATGTTTTTTTCTATCTTGATACATTACCAATTATAACTTTTGCAAGTTGTTACTTGTTTAAGATGAGTGAAAATCACTGTCTTTTATAATTAAAGACCTTGTTTTTTATAATTCTCACTGTCTTTTATTTGCTTTTAAAAAATTATTCCAACAGGGGCAGCAAAACTCTATGCCTATTGGATAGTGGTGAACTTCCGTGAGGCATATAATCTCTTTGCAGTGAATGGCATTCTCTTCAATCATGAGAGTCCTAGAAGAGGTTAGTAAATATATTAATGGAAAAGAGAATTTCAGACTTTAATAACAATAAAAAAGTTGTATGTCTATTGTGCATGTATACTATATAGACTGAAAAAAATTTCACATGTATTGTTAACTATTGTGAATATCAAGAAGTGGTAAATGAGGAAATGTAAGTTCAGCCTTACTTATTAACTTTGTTGTGTTTTTTATTCAACGTGAAAAAACTGAACAGTGTTCCAATTTTACCATTTTCATTGGTAGGTCTTATCAAGCATGTTTTCAGCCTAAGTGTTAGGAAGTTTCTATATGAATGGAAAGGAATAAGGTTTATAATAGTAAACAAGCAACTGTATTGTAAACTAATACTTGTTTCCGGAAGTCACTCTTATTCACATAGACTCAACTTGTGTAATCTTTACATTTTTTATTTTGAATCAGTTGGATATTCAATATTCTTTCTTTACATTCCATTTAAACAGACGTCCAGAAATTACTATGCTGCTAGCGTATATTTTAAAATAAATTTGAGATCAGTTCTTTTTTTTTTTTTTTTTTTAATTTTTATTT